AGCTGCGGGGCTGCCCCGGGCCGCCGCGGAAACGGAACGGAGATTCCGGGTGGGGAGCAACTTCTTAGGAAAATGCGTAGTAACTGCTCCAAGATCTGAGCCCGTGCTTGGTATTTTTCATGCTTTTTATGTCTTGCAGGAGACCGTAGGCCAGTGGAAAAGTAGCGTGTGTTGTTCTTTTTAGAGCGCTCGCCTCCTCACCCGGCTGCTCCATGTGGGACCAAGGAGGGGAAGATGAGCACTGCGTGTGCGGCACAAGCACTGCGGACCAGGGCTCAGCTTGCGCCTGAATTCAGAAGACTGTATATACATATTTATACGTGTGCTAATCACAACATAACCCTGGGTGTAGCACAAGCAATATTGCTTAGGGTTTTAGGGTCATCCATATCCTGTTTATTCTTTTTTTTTCCCCTTACTCTAAACTGTGCCTTAAGGTACTATAAGAGAGTTTAACTGTGTTTTTGCAGTTAGTACCCAAATGTTTAAGTGTAAATGGAAATATGTACTACTTGAATAAAATAACAGAAAGGACAGACAGTAGAGGGGCTGAGAGTAAAAAAAGAGCTCTTGTATAGACTGAAAGTGCAACTTGAACCCTTTTCTCCATAGGCCAATTTTTATTCCTTACTGCTCTACCTTCAAGAAGTTAATCATGGGACTTGGATGCCACCACTATGGTTTTCTGTTCCACCGTTCTGTCTTTTTATGGCAGAGTGCATGAGTGCAGAGCATTTTGTCAGGTACCTTTTGGAATATGTCGTGTTGGAATACGACATTCTGTCTTCATGTTGTCACACCTGTATGATCAGAAATAAATTCAGGCCTTCTCTAAGGACTGAGATGCCTTGATCTGCTAGTGCTTTGGATCCGAAACACTGATGAAACCACTGCTGCACAATCCTAAATTCATCAAATTTTCACATATTGCAATGTTTTTTCAAATGAAGTAATTTTTAAAAGTACAAGATTGCTCATATTTCTGACTGCTGTTACTCATGCATAGTTCTGTCTTCCCTTGCCCCCAAACAAAAGTTTTCATAGTGTAATCTTAAGGGAATGAGGTRTCAGGAAGGCATTGTAACATTGCTCCCTTTCTCCTTGTGAAGGTGACAGACACCTCAGAATGCATCCTGACTTTTAGCTTTTTTTTTCCCAGAGAAGATTCTGGCTCATTCAAGTCAGATATGGCAGAAATTTTAAGGAGCATCAGGAAAAATAAAGGTAACAAAAGCAGACATAGGATGCATTGAGCTCAAGCTATTTCATATGCTCTGGAGCACTTGAAACATGTATACCCAAGCAAATTTAACTTACTCCTCTTGAAACAAAACTGGTAAGTCAGAAAGATAGCCAGGATAATGAATCAAGCAATGGGGATATTAGGGTAGTGCAATTGCTTTATGTATTTCATGGCTCTTCAGAAAGCTAAAAGTAATTTTACTAGCGTTATAAGTAAATTCTTCAGAAAATTAATTTTGCTGTTCAAATAAGATAATTCAGCCTCCATCTCTTCAAATATTCGATCATTACTAGCAGTACTATCTCAGTGTGTCAAAGCATAATTCTAGAAATCCAGAATTGTTCAGAAAAGAATGCAAGAGTAACAAAGACAGCACAAGAGAAAGACATTTTAAATTTTATCTGATAGTTCAAACAAGCAGAACTTTGCAAGAAAATAATTCTAAGGACTGAAAAATATATTAATTACAAGACTTGTTAAATGTATTTACTGTTACAAAAATTATCTAGGCTCTTATACAAATCTATAGCCAGAAGGGGACACTTATAAAAAAATAAATAGGCACCCTAGTTAAGTCAAAACAGGTTATCACATATTTKTTAGCAAATATTACATACATACATGGAGTGCAGATTCAAATATAAAAACAAAGGTGTCTCAAATAGCTGTCTATGTACTATTATAATTAAATACCTGGTAAACACAGGTCACATAAAAAGTTGTCTAGCAAGATTTCTTTCAGGCAAAGCAAGGAGACTGAAGTACATCTGAATTACTGCAGCTACTTTAAAAATCACTAAGTTTACCAGTTGTGCTTACTGGAAACCAGAATCATTGGTATCAGTAAYAGGCATTCATATTGCTCATTGTACAGAAGTATTAACATTGCTATGCATGTTTAAAAATAACTTTTAACATCATCATTCACAGTAGTGGCTCTGCAGTTTATACATTAAAATACTGTTGTTTCAAATACAGGATTTTTGCAAACATTTTACAAATTATACATTATTTACAAATTGCAATACTAACCTTCATTTTTACATAAGTATTAGAAGATAGCTTTACATAACTGGCTTTGCATATTGTGTAACATTGCTGGGAGTAAAATAGAAAAAAAAAGTTTATTTTTTTAAACAAGTTTTCAAATCCTTTCCAAAAATACATAGGAATCTTCCAAAGTCTTAAACATTCAAGATATTTTCTCTATTTAGCTGAATTTCTTATGAGAGGATAGTTTTGTTAGGTTGCCATTTACTAGCAAACATATTGACACATGCAGAACTATTTGATTATTAGCACTACAAATTCCAGAATTCATTTTTTTAAGTGTTAGAAGAAGTTTTGAGCAAGAAGGTAGAAATAAAGATTAATCAGAGATACCTGATTTATTGCATATATCATGTTCCAGTTTTGCTATATGTTAAAGTGGTTATAAAAATTTAACTTAACCRAGTAACCAAACCTAATGTTTAGATGTATACCTTGGATAATCACACTAAAACAATTGTCAACATTTTGTTGAAGCACTCAGACTCTCATAAGATACATAAACATATGAAAGCCTTTATGACCAACAGCGCAAGCATAAGCAAGAGTGTTTATCGTGCATATACAACCTCCTGGTATTAGTTTCGTCACTAAAAGGCATTTATATGTAGATGTAATCAGCACCACCTGAATTTTAAGTTAACACTTTAATATGAATAATTGCAAAATTCAGTCTTTACAGACAGCGTCATTGAGGGTTTGCTAACACTACTTCTAAAGAGTACATGACTCACCAGTAAGGTAGACTGAAGGTATACGGGAATTCTGAGCCTGTGTAAGTCTCCGATACCACAAGGTGCGGTGGGTCATTTCAAAACATTCAACAGCTGCCACAAAGGTTAAATCTTGTTCCCCTTCCTTTCTTCTTCCCCTCACTAGGGAATATTTCTGTGAGCTGATTTAACTCACTAACCATATGAAAGCCAGATAATCTTCTTCCGTATTAGTCAAATAAATCAAGTTTGCAAAAGGCATGGTAAATGTCTGAGCTGCCAAAATTGCAAGGCAGAGCAGAGGGGAACCTCTCCTCCTTGTACTGTCTTGGAGACCACAGTCTCAAGGGCTGTAGGTTCAGCCTCATTTGCTAAGATGCTATACCATTTGTAGAACTGCTCTGAAGAAGGAAAAAAATTTATGTCAGTAAAATCAGAATGTCTGATCCCTTAAGCTTAGTTCAAGATGTCAAGCTGAAAAAAAAGATAGGAGGTTCACTAGCAACGCTGCCTGTGCATGCAAGTAGAGAATCAGTCTGAACTGAACCTAGCAATACATCTAGGGCCTTACAGAATGTGTCTTTGACAGTTGAGTATTATTCTGTTGCATCCTTTTGTGGTTAAAATGAATTTTAGTAAGTTAAAGTAGATACCTTATGGGGAACAAATCTGATAAGTGTATTAGTTTAAAAATGCATACAAACACAGGTGTATTATTGTGATATTCTACTATTGTGATTTATTTGAATTCCCTTTAAAAATCTTACCTAATGCTTACAAACCAGAACAGTTCTAAAAGAATAAATTATTAAGGCTTTTTAAATTCCAAGTTAAAAATTCGCTGGGTAAACTAGTATTAAAGACACTTAAAGGTTTGTGAAAGCACAGACTCTCACAGAAGTCAGATGAAAAACGAGTAACAGCTCCTGTTACCTACCAGGAGAAATACTAGTCTTTATATTTACTGCATTATATGGTAGTATGCTTATCCTTTTTGTTAGTTTAAACATTTGTGAATATTATTTAGAGTTTGCAGTCTGGTGGAATGCTCCTTAAGCTGCAACTATTTAAATTCTCTATAAAAATTAGTAACATCTAGTTGATCCCAATGCTAAAAGATACGTACAACCTGAAGGGACCATTTACAATATAAACTATAAAAGACGAAGCTGAATAACAGAGGTAAACATTAAGGCAACAAGAGTAACATATCAAAGAACCAGGATCTTAGCACCTCTTATCCTCTGTTCTGCTCTACTTGCATATTCACTGAAACAGTCCTAACACCTAAGCGGGTCCCAGTTGCCCATATCTTGCTTAAGACACAAGCAGACTCAAGGTCCCCATCCATGTATAAACTCTATGAAATGCAAGTCAAATCCATATCATTTTCAATCTATCTACTGCAGTGTATGCCTTCTACATTTGCCTTGTATCTTTGCTCAGACGTGGGATGACCAGGCCCAAGAGTGGCGTGGTAGGGAGCACTCAGTTCTRGTCCAGTTGAGGGTGGGTGCTTTTCTTTGTGAAAGCCTCCAGTGTCTGTCAAGTACAGCTTGGGTCGCTGATGATATTTCATCCTGTATGTGTCAGTCATACAACTATCTACTGAGAAGTAAGTCGTTAGAGATACACTGTCATTTGCATCTGCATAGCTAACACTTGGTCCTGCATGACATGATCCTTTCTTTAGAAAGTTTTCAGACACAGTCCAAAAGTCATTCACTGGTAAGCTAGGTGGAGAGTCTTGTTTCTGAATGAGCAGCTCATTCCCTTGAAATGGCTCTTTAAATCTTTGTTCACTTATAAATACATTTGCTTCTGAGGTCGATTTTAAAGGTGCAACTGCTTGCCTTCCGAGATTATTTTGCAAGACATCTGTCAATTTTACATCTGCTGCTGAGCTATTTTCTGATCCTGGCAAAACGTTCAGAGCATATTTCTTTGGAGGTAAAGGAGGAGGAAGATTCTGGTAAACCACTTCGGGCACCCAGTGTGCGTCCCCCCTTCGGAGCGGGTGCCCGGTGTGCTCGCCTGGAGTGGGGAGCCCGGCAGGCAGCTCCGGCACGTGCTGGGGCACCAAAGGCGACAAGCCCAACCTTGGGGCAAAAGTTCTTGTAGGATGAGGCTGCGGCTGAGAAGAGGAGTGAAAGTCATTGGGGGTCGGCCTCCTTCCGCAGATGTTTTCTGCGTAAGGGCGGGCTACGCTCTCCGTGCAGTATACTGGCACGTTCATCTTCTCGAACCTCTCTGGATTAAACCACTCTGAAGAGTTTTGTTCGTTTGCCTTGTTCCTTTCCATCCTAACATGGTCTTTAAGAAGTGGCTGTAGAGTTCCTTGGAAAAGTTTCCTATTAGTCTCAGGCCGGTCAGCTCTAAAATACAAAGCACATAGTTATTAAGGTAAGCAGCTGTAAAACTATTAAACCATAAAAAAGCACAAATAGCATGAGTATATATTGTGACAGCTGTAGTAACACTGTCTCAATATTCCGGAGTTGACTAAAGAGCTGCTTAACATAGATGCATTAGGCTAAAAATTGCATCAATCATTTCAAGGTTTCTTTCATTTGAAATTTAGGGTGCCCAAAGAAAAGCAACTCAAGAGATTCGGTTTCCCTAAGGAAAGATAAATGCCATCAAAACTAAAGACTATATCAAATACAAACCCCATTCTTGAGTAAGCATCCCTAGGACTGTTGGATGCATCCTTTTTAAGAAAGATTAGAGATGTTACATCTCTACGCTCAGCTAGCTTTTAAGTTCTTGATTTTTAGGAAGTACTAAGCACTTAAAGGTCAAATTAGAAACTACAGGCATATACCAGCAACCTTCTAAGCAGAAGCTCTTTTCACTCTTTAGCAAAACTTTTCAATAACTAATTTGTCTAAGCACTACCTGTTATATCACATAAATGCAAAACAAAATAATAGGGTCCTTTGCTCAGAATAAGATGCTTTAAAACAACATAGTTATTTAGTTCTACTGACAAAACATCCAAATTAAGCCTCCAATCTTTTTCCAAAAAGAAAACTTTTAGCCACATCAGTTATGTGAAACATAGAAGACATCATCTGTCAAAGTATTAAACTCCTTTACTTTGATGTACTTAGTAATGATTACTATCACATAACTAGAAACATTCTTAGTAAAATAATACCATTATTGGTTACCTCTTTACTGGAGGACTAGGCATCTGCAAATGTAATTCTTTCGGGAGGTTAACATGAGGTCTGTAGTTAACTTCCAAATTTATCTGGTCTTTCCTCAAGTCTGGGGCTGCAGAAAAAATTAAAATTAAAATTAAAATTAAAACCTCCTCTGAGAACAGTTACACAAACAAAGCACTATAGCATAGGATATATAATTCGTGCTAATATCTGACATCTATTTTTTTTAGAGACAGATACTAGGACTGCTCCTGACGTAGTGACTGAGCCATTATAATCAGTGATCAATGCTTCAAAGTCTTTCAAAAGAAAACTGACTTTGTAAATGCATGCACTAGCTTTATATAGCTACTTGGCTTATTTGAGATTAATAGAAATTAGCATCACAAAGAGGCCTTTATTTGCTTGTATCCTACTGGGAATGGTTTCTGGTTCAGTAGATGGTAATAAGTATGCCAGTTTCCAATGGGATTACATATGCTGCCCTCAAACATCCATCAACAAAAGCTACAAATGGTTCGGATCTGTTTTAAAAGATGTCATTTAACAATGCAAAATACTTTATTTGCTTGTTTGCTTTTCCAAGTTTGCATAAAGTTGCAGGGAAGAAATGCTTTGTGAACATAAATCTTGGGGGGAAAAGAGCAGAAAACAACCAACCAACCAATCACATTCTGAATGAAACTGAAGACTTGCCTTGAGAAATTCTGTCTCTCCTACCCTTTACTAGACAAAGGACTAAAGCAGCTACATCTCAGACACTGAAAAGAAATTATAAGGGCTAGAAGGGCCCCCAGGTCAAAAGAGAAATCCTTCGATAAGGCTCTCCTTCAACTAAAACCTATTAAAACTTTTTAAAAAATAAATAAATAAAATAAAAACTTATTCCAGCATTGCTCAACATTACCACAACTCTAGAATGAATATAACAACATGGTTACTGAAAGAGGCCTCACGACACTGAGGAGGGTCACATAGCTAACCTAAAAGGAATGGAATTAGCTAAGTTATTTTCTTGGTTAGCAGTGTCTGAAGATGAGATATTTAACTTGAAAACTAGGAGTACAACAATCCTTTATATACAGCATTTCTACTTAAAAAGGAAAAATTGCCCTTACAACTGCCCTTTAAATCCACAAAGGGATTGGTCTGAGGAGCAGCCCGAGCCAAAGCCGTGGGAATGAGCCTGAGTGTAAGGGAGCCAGGTCCTTGGAGGCGGCAGCAGCTCGGGCGGGCAGGAGGCGGCAGCAAAGGGCAGGCGGCCGCTGCTGCAGCCGGGGCTCGGCGGCCGCCCCAGCGCCGCTGCCCGGGACACGGGCCGCCTGGGCCCGCAGAATTCCAGCTAGCTTAAAAATAGACGTGTTATTTTCTCTCTGCTGACACGAGAGCCATGCATGGTTAAAACCAGCGACAGACTCTGCGGGGAATTTTGGCTCTAGGCTCTTTACAAATGTGAAGATAGGGGCCTCGTGGTGAGTTCAGCTGGACACTTGACATTCCTATCAACTGCTCATCAAAAGCTTACCAATAAGTTATAGGTAACTCTGTTTTCTCAGATACAAACCAGGCTGCTTTTAACATTTATAGACATACATTTTCACCTCTGAGTGGACAATTAAGATTTTCATAAGATGAAGAATAAGAAAACAAGAAGTAACGCATAGGCAACAGTTAAACAGTTACTGTAATACATTTCTCTTCCTGATCACAGATATTTTTCTGCATTCAATTGAAGGGGCAGAGGAACTTATTAAGAGGAAGGCTTTGGAAAGGTGGAACAAAAAAAAAAGCAGTCCTAGCCTAGAAAGTAAACACATTATAGCTTGTCCAAACTGGAATATTCAGGGGAAAAAACAACCTCCCCACACCCTCTGGAGCAGAGGCCAAGCAATTCCTGTATATTAATTCATGGTTCCTCTTTTGCTTCAAGCATCTGGACAAAAAATAAAAGTCAAAGCTCCACTGTTTTGCTGGGTGCTTGCATAGGCGTTAGCTTAAGTAAAACAAAGAACACCTTACCCAAGGACATTCATTAACTATGAGCCTTCTTTTCAGTCTGATCCTTGTTTCGCCACCTGTGAAACTCACTCACAAAGCTTAACAGCACCCACAGAATATTTTGCTTCCTTTTTCTCTCCAAACCCAGTGCAGCTTTCTTCCACACTCTCTCAAGGGAAAATCTCACATACAGCAGGACCATACGTTTTGTTCCTACAGTGTACTCAAATCTCTGGGCTTGTCTTTCTGGGCATTACTAACAGAGATGTGTGCAGGGAGGCTATGCTCTCTCCCTTAATAAGAAGTTTTCTCGACACAACTTAAATCACGTCAGTAAAGCAGGCCACGTGTCTTGTAAACACCGCCAGAACTATTTTGAGCGTCATGGGTAGATTGGTGCTGCCCTCTGGTTTGTCGGGATTAAGCATCAGCAAACAATTTCTCACTAAACCATTTCTCACTTCCCAGCCTTCCTGCAGTTTTCAGAGCGGTGACTTTTAGCAGATCAGGCTCATCAGCCTGCTTGCTTTATCCATTAGCTATGTTTGTCTAGAATAACAGTAAACCTGCCATTTAAAGACACCCCAGAAGGGCATTTTTTGTTCCTGTTTTATATGTCAAGTAAATTGAATTTGAAGAATTACTCTRTTCTTCAAATAGGACAGTCATACACATTTGCTGCATCACAAAGGTTAATAACTGGATTTTGTTGGAGAAATAATATGCTCACACATTATTTTAATTTGTTAAGTATGGTCTCCCTGAAGAAAAAAACAGTTATTTCTTTTCCAATAGTATGTTTTATGGGCTTGGAGAGTTTGTTTATTTGTTTATTTTTGAAGAGRCCAAGAAGTAATATTCACTTATTATTCACTAGAGCTTCACAAAGATTGCAGAATTCAATTGGAATTGTCTCATGCTATTGGACTCCACAGTTACTAATGGAGAAACTTCTGGATTTCCAATGTTATGAACCCTGCTTTGCAAATTCAAAACATTTGTTTCTTTCTACATGGGAGAAATGTGCACAGACAGTTTTGTTAGATTGTGTGGGTTGCTTTTCCTGTTGTTGTTTTCTTGGTTTGTTTTAAAGCAGGAGGAAAGCCTTGCCTCCCACTGTTTATGCCACAAGCTCTTTACAAACAGAGGTTAACCTCCAAGCTCAAACTTCACCCACAGCTAGCTATTCAATATAAATTAAGAATCCCATATTTGCTTGGTTAATATTTGCATTTTCATGCCAAAATTGAGCACACAACCTAGAAAATGGCCACACAGGTCACCTGAGCCGAATCCCGGCAGCGGCTCGGGGCAGCGGTCCTTGGAGCCGCGTACGGGCCGCGTGAGTCACTGCTGCTGCTGCTGCTGCTGCTGCTGCTGCTGCTGCTGCTGCTGGTGGTAACGCAGCCAGGAGCCGCCCGGCACGAGGCCACGGCAGCTACTCGGCCACTGCGCAGCAGCTCAGTCAGCTCCCATTAAAATTAAGGAACCGCTTAAGCACAGTCGTGAAAATCAAGGGCACTGCTAAAAGTTCCACATTGCTTCCATATGAAAAGGAGAGGAATCTCCAGGAATTTCTAGGAATCTATGTGGTATTTACCTAACAGTTCATGCCTTGTTCATATGGCACAGAGAAATCAAGTTGCTGCTGTTAAATGTCTCCCTGTGTAGTGCCCTGGCACAGGTTTTAGACAGCCAAATAACTGAGTCTAAATAAGTCTTTATCCCTTCGTGCATGTGAGCTAATCAAATTCTATACTATCTTTTCCATGAAGTGACAGTAGTACCCACTGAGCCCACTTATGCTAAAGGTATTATCTGCCAAAATTATGCAAAAAATGGAGAACTTTCTATTTATGTTACATATATTTTTGCTATGAAACTACTCACAATTTAGCACCAAATTGGTATTACTGAATAGATGAGAGATTTATCACTGTTTGAGACATTCATTACTGTAATGTTTTATGGTAAATCTAAGGATYACTTGGAATGAATGCCTCTTTGAAGAAGCATCTACAATACACAGTAAAAGTTTTAAAACTATACAAGTCCATTGCATGGTAAACTCAACTGCAGATTAATTTTTAAGGCCAAATATTGTTTGAAACTACCTATTTGTTTATTTTGACAGTCCTTAAACCATTTTCATTTTTTTAAATCAATTCTTTTCATTGATATGCTAAAACTGTAAAGTACAGAAGTACAGGAGATTAAACATCAAGAAAAAAAA